CTTTCGATACAACGCGTCACTAACAGATCAAATCATGAGACCAGACTGAGAACCACCCACACAATGCATCTCATCACTCTGCTCCATATGTGTATGACTCAAGCTCTAAAGTGAAGTCCAACATCCCATCAAATAACATGATCTTGAATGCCTTTGACAACCCTGCTACCATGACGGTTAGACAGGATCCATCCCCACGACGAATTCCACCCGTTACTCTACCTCCAAAAACCATGGCTCTGATACAAGTGTTGGGGAAAACACGACCCCGGCATCTTCCAGGATCATGAGCTCAAAGGACTCTTGTACACTCGCGCACTCACTAGTAATACAAAGGCTCCATCTGACAATAACACTTTGTATTATACAATTGAAATGTACAAGTATTTTACAAGTAAATGGGTAGGTGACTTCACTCTTTGTATGTGACACTACTTCACTCTCACTCCCCTTTCTCAAGGATGCACTTACTCACTCAAGAGCTCCCCTCAAGTCTCTCTCTCATCACTTGAGGAGGCTCACTCAAAGCTCTCACTCTAGACTCTCATGAATGAGGAGTCCCACCCCTATTTATACTACTCTCCTTAAAGCTTCTCTAGAATTTTTTATACACCACTACATTTCTAGAGTCTTCCAATAAGTATCTACAAGCTTCTCCAATCTTCTAGAAGGATCCAGAGGACTCAACGTTTCTTTAGAATGTTCTAGGGGCTTCCACATGCTTCCACAAAGTTCTAGAGAGTTCCACACTTCTCTAGAAAACTCCATAATGTTCTAGAATATTCTATAATCTTCCACACGCTTCTATAAAATATCATGTCTCTCAAGAAAGTTCTGGAATATTCTAGAACATTCAATACGTTTCTACACACATCTAGAGAATTCTAGACATCTCCGTAATATTTTAGAGTTCTCATTAACTTCTAAATTAAGGAGGGAACCCAACATTGAGGTATGTGAATTAGGAATTTGGGGTTTGGTATTTTTTCGATTCAATACTTCTCTACACTATTGCTAGGCCTCACAAATAAGAATAGACTGACCCATTAATCATTGTATGCATTTTTTGAAATTATTAACTTCATTATATTGGGTAATTGTTTACTCCGTATTTTTTATAATGTTATTATTATTATTATTATTATTAGTAAATTTTGTTTTGCACTAATATTTTATAATGGTAATTGGATTAGTCATTTAGTTACTTTATCACCAAATTAGGTATGACACAATCTTAGTAAGACGGACAAAAAAGGAAAGATGAGACAATCTTAATGAGATGGATGATGTATTATTTATATATATATACTACGCATTAAATATGTAAGTATTGTCATGACGAGTAAACGCAAATTTGAACTTCAAAAAGAAAAAATAAAATGGTATTAAAGAGTTTTTTCTGGATTAATGCTAATTAATTAAATAATTACTAAAATAGGGTTGGGTTAAAAGTATTTATGGATCTACGGCTGATTTTAACCCGGGTTAGGCAAAGTCACCAAACGGTTTGGCGACTTATAATTTGCCATCCGGTTTGGCAACTTAGAAGTCGCCAAATCGTTTGGCAACTTTGGCTTTTAATAAACTGTTGCGCACACCTTATCAGACGGAACGAACGATTCAGGCCAACAAAATAGCTCCGACGAAGAACGATTGCAGCAGCCCACTCCGGAGACTACAACTACTAGGAGGCCATTCCACCTGCCAAATACACTCCCCAATCATCTTCTTCAACCTCTAGGTACATCAAATCCCTTGTTTTATCTCATTTTTCAACTTAGGGTTTAAAGTGATAATTTTCGAATTTGTAAATTAGGAATTGATTTGTAAATTGATTTGTTGTGAAGTGTGAATATGTATGCAATGTTTAATTTTAATCTTGAATTCAATGTAATTTTTTGATTTTGTTGTGCATTTGTTGTGTAATGTGAGTTTAAATGTCGGATTTTGTTTTTTTGTGAGAAAACTAATTATTTTTATTTTGTTAAGTGTGGTATATGTAATAAGATTTTCTTAAATATGAGAGATTATAAATATGTTTTATGTCTATGAAATGTTGAATTTGGGTGTATAAAGTTTGTATATTAATGTGTACTCATGAAATTAGGACATGTATTGTAATTGGAATATGGAGTTTTCCAACTTCCCAATCGTGTGTCATTGGGGAGGGAACATATTTGAGGAAGTAGGCCAAATACGCTATGAAGGTGGGAGCAGCAAGTTTGTAATTGTTTCTCGTGGCGCATGTTTGCTTGAGATGCTGCAAAAAATCCATGTAACTACACAGATTCCTCCAAGCCGTTCTTTGCAATTGAAAATGAAATATTCCCTTCACGGAGGATCATATATGCTTATGCCACTTGATGATGAGGAAGCTGTCACGAGAATGTGGATGATACTTCAGATGATGAGTATGTCCACACTGGAGATATACATTGCATAATCCATAGGTGACGCTTCTCTAACTCCCTCAACATCAAATGTTGGTGTATCTAGGCATGGTGTCAATGAAGCAACCACCTCAAATGTTGTTGTTCTGGACATGGTTGTAGAGGAAGAAGGGAGGTACTTTCACAATGGTGCATCATTTTTGGATGAGCAGGGAACAAATGATGACATGACAGAATCTGATGAAGATGATGGTGATACTGTGTCCGCAACTGCTATATCGTTTCATATCATTAACTATGTTTTCATATCACAATATAACATTCACTATGATATGAATAAGATTAAGGCTAATTTTTATCATTATGAAACAGATTACATGGATGCCATATAAAGCTCAAATGTTAGAGGAGTTACCCCCGGCAGGACGAGAACATTATGCTATATGGAGAGCACCTGTGCTGTTGATATGCTTTGACATTGTTGAGCTTCATATGTCTGATCGTGTTATGCGGCAATTTGGCTATGAGCAGGTCATTCCAGCACCTGTCAACACATTTGTAGATCTTCATAAGCTGGATAGGCGTGGGAAGCCTACAGAGGATTGGTCGCTCAGACATGCCCGATACGTGACTATATGGGAAAGGCGAGCGGAGCTTGTTGTGACTGTGACGCCGACATTTGTCCCAACTGTTTTTGCAGACTATATGAGATGGTATTACAGCATCACGCGGGTGTTTGTATCTCCATCTTTCAGACTCCCTACTCACCATTATCAACCTAGTCCCATGCCTTTGCACTTGGCGGTGAGTGTGCTCATAATTATTAAAGTAATTCATGTTCTTTATTTAACATTTTTAATTTATTTCAAAACAATTATATTTCATTTTTCACATTTCAGACACGGGCTTTGCATCATATACATGAGCGAGCAACTGCCACAATTTGTGAGACGCATGATGTGGACATGTACCATCAGGTTCTAACAGGCATTGCTTCCTTGTGTTCGGATGTGTTGGGGTGAGTAGACTATGACCATCTTATACATATGACCCCCTCTCAGGAATCTACGCCATCGACATCTACAACAGCAGCAACTTCTACATTCCAGACTCAGCATGACAGAGTTGTTCTTCAGCCACGTCAGCAGCGTAGGCGTATCCGTCAACAACCACACCTCCATGACCAGGACAACCAAGAAGACCTTCAAAACTTGTAGTCTTTCTCCATTATTGGACTTATTCATGTAGCCCGAATTTGAAGATTTTTTTTAATCTGTGAAACACTTTACTTCATGACGTATGTCCACCTGCAAAGTATTGAATTTTAGTTATTTAATCATTTGTTTTTGATGTATTTATGTGTTGGGTTATGCAAATGTGTTGATCTGTTCATGTGTTGATTTTTTTTTGGCTTTTGTTTTTGTTTTGTGTTTCTGACCAGGATTTCTCAAAATGTGTTATATTTTCATCTTTTTTCTGAAGCCTTCTGGTTTTGCAGATGCATGGGGAATATAAGTCGCCAAACGGTTTGGTGACTTATAAGTCGCTAAACGGTTTGACGACTTTCCCCTATTTTTAACTCAACCCTATTTTCATAATTATTTAATTAATTAGCATTAATCCGAAAAAAACTCGGTATTAAAATGTATACTATTTAGTACATTTTGTTTGTATTACATTTTAAAAATTATTTTGAACTTTGTTTAGTACAGAGTAGGTGTTTAGTACAGAGTATGTGTTACATGAACGTTATTTCTCATATTTTGTGTTTGTATTCATTTTATCTTATTTTTTAGGACAATGTCTTATACTATCCCTCATTCATAAAAGTTGCAACAGTTTGACCTTCATGTTTGCAAACGCGCAACTTTGACTGTAATTATATTTATTTACGTATTAGTAAACATTAAAAAAAGTTAATATATTAGAAATTTACATTAATATAAATTTATTAATATTTTATACATAATATTTTTATTATATATATTATTAGAAAATCGTAGTCAAAGTAAGGTGTTTGAATAGTGCAGAAATTCTAATGTTACAACTTTTATGGAACGGATGAAGTATTAATATAATTTGTGAATGTTAAGGGTTTTTCGTAAAGGGCCTTCAAAAAAATCCTAATATACTCCCGTGCGATGTGAAAAGTATTGTATACCTAAATTGAAAAAATGTCACTTTTGGTCCCATGACTATTATATCACTTCCAAATTTAGCCCCCTACTTTCAGATTGTCCACATTTAGTCTGTTACCATTATTCCCTCACCACTCCTCGTCCTTCTGGCCAAAATTCTGGCAAATTTAGTTCATTTATTAGCCTCAGAATCAGTCTTTACATTAAATTTTATATAAGGTTGAATTTTTCATATTAGTCTTTGCATTAAATTTGGTTTTTCATACCTAAAATCTGCATTAAATTTACCAGAATTTTGGCCGGAAGGACGAGGGATGGTGAGGGGATAATGGTCACGGATTAATCGTGGACAATCTAAAAGTAAGAGACTAAATGTGGAAGTGGTATAATAGTCACGGGATAAAAAGTGGAATTTTTTCTACCTAAATTTCATTATTTTTCCCCACCCCTAGTTGGAAGTAGGTTTAGTGTGTTAGCACCTAGGTTACATGTTTTGGATTGGATTTATTGATCGGAGGGCTATAAAAAAGCTTCCCCTCCCCTGCACAAACACAACATTTAGTGCCCACACACAATGCAGAAGATGCTGAAAGTTACCTCATAGAATGCAATTACTCAACTTTTGATTCTAGGCGGCAAGAGTATGTAATAATAGATATGTTTGAAATTCTGCTCTTTGTCGTTGGGTTTCATATATGTTCCCAAGGGACATGCTCAACATCTGTTTGTGGATATGCCTAAATGAATTAAAGTTATAGGTAAAACTGCAAAATTGTTTTTTCTTTGAATTTAGTTGTCTTCTAATTACAGGTGAAGCACTCTAAGCCAGTCTCACAATGTTTCTTCGCCGGGTTGCTACAAAGTTGCCTCAACCAACCAGGTTCTTTTGCAATGCTAGTAACCATGATATTTCCAATGCTATTGCAGAACTTAACAAGGTTATCTCTTAGTATCTTATGAACTTCTCTTTCAAATATTCACTTCAAGAAACTCTATAACTTAATAAGTTAATAGAAGACAGGGATATAAAAACCTGTATGCTAGATATTTGTTATTCTACTTTAAAAAACATGTCGATACACACACATATCGGTATCAAGCATCAATAAAAATGTGAAAGTTTTATTAAATTCAAAAAATTAACATTAAAATTTAGAGTTATGTACCAAAATGTTAATTCTTAGTCAACATTAAATTTGGTAAGATGAAATTAATTACCAATAAATTGATAATCGAATATATGTAAACATCCTATAAACATATAATAAAAGTTTAAAGTACTTGTTGTAATATTATGAATTATTCGTCTGTTTCTTTTTTTAGTTTATTTGAAATCGGTGAGTAGAAATATTGGTTTAGCCCCTTACTGATTGGACTTTAAGTTCCACAAGAAATAGAAGTGATTTTAGAGAGTGAAGATTAAGTAGTCTTGGGTTTGATTTTTGTTTTTAGACATAGGAGAGGAAGTCTTGGTTTTAATGAACAATAACAACAAGAGAAGAAAGATAAGGAAAATAAAAAAACAAGGTAAGATAAAATGGATAAGATAAAGATGAATATAAGATAAAAATAACATAAGAATATAAGAACGGTAAAAGATAAAAGAACATAAACAAGAAAAAAAATAAAAATAACATAAAGAACATAGAAAGATAAATAAGATAAATGTCAAAAGAAAAAGAGAGAATGATAAAGAAGGTAAAGAAGATATAGTCTTGGTTTTGATGAAAAGACATTCAAATTCACAAACCCACAAAACATAGTCAATAATAGGCATAAAAAAGAGTAACAGGCATTGAAGAGTATGATTGAGGTGTGAAGGTGAGGTTTAGCCAAGGTAGTCAAAGTCGTGAGGCGCACTCAAGGCGACGGAGTACGCCCATCGCCTGAGGCGCAAGGTGCAAAAAAGTGCTCGCCTGACTCATGTAAGGCGCGTTACTTAGAAAATATCACATATACTTTTATGCAAGTATCAAACATGATGTATATAACATCATATTGAACCAACTACATTAAAAAGTCATGTTTCTAAAAAATAAAGTCATGATTCACCAAAATAAGTTCATGCATTTGCATCATTTTCATGAGCCAAATAATTTGGTTTTCAAATCGGGTCTGTTTTTGCTGATTTGGCAGCTTCAAGACCTGTGGCTGAAGTTCGATTTTTCATGTCTTGTAAATGTACAAGGCAGATATTATTTACACAGTATACTTCATGAAACTATTCAATGATTAGATTATATGAAGTGTACATGAATAAAAATATTAAATAAGAAAATGCCGATAAATGGAACAATGATTAGAAAAATGGAAAATATTTTCTATTTAAATGATTAGAAAATGGAACAATGAAGAGAGTCACACATGATAGACCACTATATTGGTAGTTTACAAATATATATGTTTGACTTGTATAGAGTTTATAAGAAGTTGTTAGGTATGGGCCTTTCAGTCCCTAGAGCCGGTCAAACCCGTGACTCTTAAACCCGCCCCTTCGGTAGGAATGCCAAAAAATCCCACACCGGTGGGCTAAGAGAGTCCTTGGTACCTTATAAGGCCTAGGCTCTCCACCACTATTGACGCGTTTTAAATCCGTGAGGGGAAACCCAAAGCGGACAATATCGGTAGTCTGCCTCCCGGCTGTGGGATCGATCCTTCAGAAGTAGATGCTGAAAAAAGAAAAAACAAAGAAAATGGAACAGTCAAGGAGAAGAAAACTTACTGTCATTGATTGTGGTGCCAGCTTCTGCGGTTGATGTGGAGATAGTGAAGACTGAGGTAATGTGAGTAGAGCAGAGCAGGAGAGTTGAGGACTTTGAGTAGCGAATTGACTTGTGTTGATTAACGCAAATTTTCATCATTTTGACCTTTTATTTAGATACTTAGTTGGGCTTCATCATATTAAAGATATGGGCTTCTTATTTAAAATAGTCTGAAACTAAAATATTAGGCTTAAACGTGTGTTTCCACCTCAGGCGAGATTAGCGAGCGCTTGAGCGCTTTTGCGCTGCTCCTATCCTGTGCCTTACACAGATAGCTGCGCCTGGTGCGCTTAAGCGCCCATGATACGAATTCCACCCTCAGCGGACTGTTCTTTGGGAGTGGATTACAACAGAAAGTTTGCCCAAGACTCCTCACAAAAGAAAGATTGAAAATGATGTTTTTGTTGGTTGCGTCTAGCCGGTTTTGGTTCTGGGAAGCTTATTAGTTTCAGAAAACGAAAGGGAAGGGAATTATGGGTTCTCGCCACTTTCAGAGGAATGAAAGATAAGAGAAATGAGCTATGGACGCCACAATCAAATTGATAAGTCACACAACTCAATTGAACTCAATATAACACATGAGATTGAAAACAAACTGCTTTCATTTTCTGGTGTAAAGATACTGCCCTATTCATTGTCTCTCTAGTCTATAAATACTATCTATTCTACCTAAAGAACATGGACTGAAATCTGGAAACATGGAAAAGAAGACGGAAACGTGGGGTGAACAACTCAATCCCATATCCAACTAAGATAGCCACTAGCTACAAAAGTGGATCGTGGGTGAACTTTGTGGCTATCCTGCTCTTTAATTTAATTCTAAATTTAACTCTACCCTAGTAGATCGGTCCAGCTGCACTAAAACAGAAAATAATTAGATAAAAAGAAACATAACAGGTTGGAAAAAATGACTTAATGCTGGCCCATTGACCCGGATACAAGTCCACATGCTGAAAATGCCAATTTTACCATTCTGCCCAAGTTAACAACGTTGGAGTGTTTTTTTTGTTTGTTTAATTGATTGGATCAATTAAACCCACTAAGTGAACCATGGCTCCTTCGTCAACCCCCTGGGACGTGGTTAAAGTCTCACTTCTTATAGAGTTCTCTATCCAAGCACAAACAGCCTCTTGGAAACGCCTAACATGAGCTCTTGTCAATGGACCGTCTTGAATTTGTAAAGGGTCTTCCCTTAGGTCTCCTTGTGATTGTAAGCGGTCTATAGTATTCTCATCAGCTCCCTCCCCCTCAAGAGGATTCGTCCTCGAATCAGCTTCACCACCTGCATCAAAGGGAGATAAATGAGAAACATTGAAAGTAGCGCTGACATTACCATACTCACTTGGCAGCTCGATCTTATATGCATTGTCATTGATTCGTTCCAGAACTTGAAATGGGCCGTCCCCCCTTGGCATAAGCTTGGACTTACGTTGAATAGGGAATCTATCCTTGCTCATATGTACCCAAACTCTCTCCGGGTTTAAAAACAACCCTCTTTCGTCCCTTGTTAATTCGGTTGGCCACTTGTTCATTTCTTTTAGATATAGCCTGGCTAACCTTTTCATGCATCTGTTTCACCATTTCAGCCTTTTTTGCGCCGTCAATGTTAGTGATTTCTGTACTTGGCAGAGGTAAAAGATCAAGAGGTGTTAACGGTTCAAACCCATATACAATTTGAAAAGGCAAATTCACAAGGATTACATTCTTCCCAATTTTTCAAATTTTTACCTATCAAAACACGCAATAAGGTTCCAAGCGTTCTATTTACTACTTCAGTCTGGCCATCTGTTTGAGGATGACTTGTAGTAGAAAATAAAAGCTTCGTCCCCAATTTCAACCACAAGGTTTTCCAGAAATAACTGAGGAACTTGACATCACGATCAGAAACAATGGTTTTTGGCATTCCATGCAACCTAACTATTTCTTTAAAGAAAACATTAGCAATATGGCGTGCATCATCTGTCTTATTACAGGGAATAAAATGAGCCATTTTAGAAAATCTGTCAACTACCACAAATATAGAATCATGTCCAGACTTACTTCGGGGCAGTCCTAGCATAAAGTCCATTGATAGATTTATCCAAGGATGAGTAGAAACAGGCAAAGGAAGATACAAACCATTAGGCATACTCCTGGATTTGGCTTGTTTGCATGTAATACATCGAGAACAACATGTGTACACGTCATGCTTCAATTTTGGCCAATAAAAATGTTCTTGGAGTATATCACATGTCTTTTGTATCCCAAAATGTCCCATTAACCTGCCACCATGGGCTTCTTTAACAAGTAATTCACGTAATGAACATTTAGGTACACACAGCTTACCTCCCTTAAAAAGATAGCCATCACGCAAGTGCTACTGCTCATGTACACCCTTATCACAAGCAGAATAAATAGCACAAAAATCAGAATCATCAGCATATAAGGTTTTAATGTGCTCAAATCCTAAAAATCTAGCATGCAAAGTGGTCATAAGAGTATATCTTCGTGACAGTGCATCAGCAACCACATTTTCTTTGCCAGTTTTATATTTGATCACATAAGGGTAGGACTCAATAAACTCAATCCATTTAGCACGTCGTTTATTGAGCTTACCTTGACCACGCAAATACTTGAGTGATTCATGTATTACAAACTCCTTGTGTCTCAGGTAATGCTCCCAGTGTTCAAGAGCACGGATCAAGGCATATAGTTCTTTGTCATATGTGGGATAATTAAGGCAGGCACCGTGTAATTTTTCGCTAAAATAAGCTACTGGTTTTCTCCCTTGCATTAGCACAGCCCCAATACCCACACCAGATGCATCACAATCTAGCTCAAAAGTAGAATTAAAATCAGGCAGCACAAGAATAGGCGACGTACACAACTTTTCTTTTAACAAAGTGAAGGCCTTTTCTTGTCGTTTTGATAGAGACCTAGACAGTACTAGTAACAAGAATAATATTAGTCTTTTTATATTGTAGAACAAAAGGGGTTTAGGCCCTGAATTTAATAGTTTTGGGCTAGCCCAAATGGAAAAGAATGAATAGGTGTTGGGGGAGTAGAATAGGGGCAGGCAGAACTTGGATCTGAACCGGGACCTGGGAGAGACCGAGGGCACTCTCGAATTTGCCTTCAACTGTATCGTTTCTTTTCACTTCTTCAATTTCAGTGTTCAATTTCAACAATTCATCGCC